AGCCCGCCCTCTCCCCAAACCATATCGTGTGATGTGGTCCGCTCGTCATCAGTTGTCCCAATCCATCCAAATCCACCGCCCCTGCCCTGCTGCCCTGCCCTGCCCGGCCAGGGTTAAATAAATCTATATGAAAACAACAAACACACGAAAGCTTAACTGACATCCCACCCCTGCCTCTCTCTCACCCCAACCCAACCCAACTTCCCCGTCCATCAACATCCCAAGATTATATCCCACCAACCCAACATACCGCACAGTCGATTGGCGTCGACCATTCGTAAGGCCAAACCAGCAGCCCTATCTGTTCGTCCGCGGTCACCCCTCGATTTCACTTCCACGGCAACTCACACTCTTTTTTCTTTTCTTCGTTTCTCTTTTCTTTCTACCCGTCCCCATTCTTTAGAAGGTCTCCGTGTCCTGCGAGCCAAAGGTATCTGCATCATCACACCCAAAGTCAGTCTCATATTCCCACATCACAACGTTGGGAGGTAGCCAGATCAATAGCGAGTAGTAGTCCAAGAGTCAGATGACCAAGGGGCTAAAGGAAATATAAAAAGAAAAAAGTAACAAAAGAAAGACTAACCTCTCCGCCTATCCCTCTCCTCCCCGAGCGCACCACTCCCATTGACACTGCCCCTCGATCCCGACCCCGTCGGCGTCATCGGCCTGGGCCCGCTGGGCCTCCTGTTAACACCGTTCGCAGGCGCCGAGAGCAGGGCGCCGCTCAGGTTGCGGTTCTCGAGCCGGGGGCTGCTGGCGCCGCCGCCGGCGCCCTCGCGCGTGCTGCTGCCGGCGCTGTGGTGCGAGTGGTGGCTCTGGCTGATGTAGCTGGCGGTAGGCACGCCGTGCGTCATGGTGCCGTAGCCGCTCTCCACGCTGTGGTGCGGCAGCGGGCTGCCCTGCTTCTTCTGCAGCTTGCTGAGCCGCTTGTTCTGTGGCGGCGTGGCCGCCGCGCTGCGCGTCAACTGGCAGGGGCTGGACGGCGGGAGGTCGCTGTCGAGGGCCTCCTTGGGCGGTCGGGGGCGGCGGAGCGCCGCCGGATGTGGCCGTCATACTCGCGGCCGCGGCCGGGGAGGAGGTCCAGTGTTGCTGCTGGTAGTGGTGGTCACCCCCCGGGGAGCCGTAGTTGTCGGTGTGCTGCTGCTGCTGCTGTTGCTGCTGGCCAAAGCGGTGCAGGCTAGTGACGGAGCCGGCCCAGTCAGACTTGGGGCCGAGAGATGAGTCGAAGCCAAGGGCCTGGGACTCGAGTGCGGCCTTGAAGCGCTCGGTCTGGCCCTGGCGCGGTTGCGGGTGCACAAGGTTCAGCGAGTCGCGGTGCGCCTTGTATTTGGGATCCTCAGGCGTCATGTACTTGGGATTCTCGGGCGTCATGTTCATGCTGACCCAGTTGGCGTCAGGCTGCGACGGGGATGACGTCTGCCCGTACATATGGTCGTCTTGGTCATCGCGGTATCCTTGGGGGAGGTCCGTCTCCGAGAACCCAGTATGTAGTTTATCAGTCTGGATGGCCTGGGGAGGGGCGAACTGGTAGTTGTCTTGGTAGTGGTCGAGGGACCCTGAGCGGGACGGTCCGGTGGGGAACTGGGCGGTCTCGTCCTTGCTGGACTGCTTGCTGTGGCGAGGAGATTCCGTCTGCACACCGCTAGACGTTGTCGTTTCCGACCACCGCGAGATCTTGGGAATGCGGAACCAGCTGGATCTTGACTTCTTCTTGCCGCTTTCCTCCGTCTTGGGAGTGTTCTCGTTGCTCATCAACGCCTGTGCTTGCGCGGCAGGGGCAGGCGGGGTTGCCAGCGGCACCGAGCTACCGCGTTGATCCTGGACGGGCGTCATTAAGTGCTGCTCGCCGTCCCTCCGCCCGTGGTCATATTCTTCCTCATTGTCTTCGGGCACGGTGCTTATCCTGTGCGCTGAAACCTTGCGGTCGTACCCGGGCTTGACCGACGTCCCACGCGACTGAATCGAGAGATATCCAGACTGGGAGGCATGGCTCGCTGTTGACGTGCCGGCCATGCCATCGGGCTCGTAGCCGTGGTCTTGTTCGCTTTGGATCTCAGGCTCCATGTGATCGTATAGTTGCTCGTTGTGGGTGCTCTGGTTCCCCTGGATGCCCGGAGCCGTTTGCGCTTTGAGAACATCGACTTCAGTAAGAAGCTGCATGAGCATGTCCTCAATCCTGCCGAGGTCGTTGGCCCCCTTAGCACTCAGACCTTTCAGCGCACGACGGAAAATGCTCCTCCTCTTGTTGTTGATGTCATCACCGTTGATAGTGCCCGCTTGCGAGCCGCCTTGGATCGAGCGCGGTGCGCTGCCGGGGTACGGGCGGGGGCCATTGATGGCGCGCTGAACAGTCTTTTCGGTATTCTCCTTGACCTCCGTAATGATCACATCCTCCGTGTCGGCGAGCAGGCGCTTGACCTCCTCAAAATTATTGCGCATCTCCGTCGCGGAACGGACCAGAGTGACAAGGATCTCCGTGTCGCGAGCACTGCGCTGAGCGTCGCGAACCATCAACTGAAACAACGTTAGTAACTTGCAAACGAATGGTAGGAACAAATACTCACATGCTGCATCAATGCAATGATGTCCGTGGACTCTATCCTCTCGATGCCGGTGCCAGTCGCGGCATCATACATCGGAGAGCCCATGCCTTGGGACATGCCGCTGAGCTGCCGAGTATGTTTTGGGGTGTTGTAGAACGGGTCCTCAACGCTCGGGCCGCCAGCACCCGGGACGACGTTGAAGTCCACGCCCTTGCCCTTTGCACCACCCTGGAGGTCAGGCGTCTTGTTGGGGCCCTGCGAGATATAGCCCTCGTCCACCTTGTGGCCCATCGGGCTCCGGGTACCATAGAGGTCGCCGAAGCCCGAGTTATCGAAACCTGGAAGCAGGTTGGTGTTGAGGCCGGGGATGTTTGCGATGGGGCTGGATCCCTCGTAAGGGTTGGTGACAAGAGTATCGCGCTTCTTGTCCTCGGACGTCCTATACCACTCATCATGCTCCTGGCTGGGTTGACGGCTGTGGCTCTGGGCTGCCGCCATGCCTGCGGCCGCACTCAAAGCCGCAGCGGCACCGGTCATAGCCAAGTCTTGCCCGCTCCTTTGTTGGGGCAATTCCGGCTCAAGGTGGGCCCCGTCCAAGCCGCGGTACTCAACATCATCGTCGTGGTGTTGGGGGCGCTGGCGGGGTGTGGCGTCGCCAGCCCAATGTTCTTCTTCATCGCGGCCACCCTCGCCGCCGAGAAGCGACGGGTTAGTGAGCAGGTCATCGTCGTCTTGCCAGCCGATTTCCGGCATCGGGTCATTCAGATCCGGCAGGCCGCTGAAACCCAGCTTGGGCTGCTGCTCCTCGCCGTGTACCAGTCTCTCGGCACTGGCGGTGTCGATGCCCGGGCGCGGCCCGTTCTGTGTGCGTTCCTTGAACGACTTGTTCCTTTGGACGCCGGCCCCCTGAAAGTCCATCTCGTCATCCGCAATGACCTGTTGTCCCTTGGCATTTTGGGCCCGTAGAACGGCGGCGGCGGCACCGACCGCTGCGCTGGTGATGGCTGCCTCCGACATGGTCGGCGACTGTCGGTAGGTGGTCTGGGGTACCTTCTGACCATACTCGTCGAGTTCATACTCGACAAATTCGCGGGAGCGGTGGCTCCCAGAGGTGGGAGTAGCCTCTCGTTCTTCGGGGTAGTCGTGGCGACTCCCCACGGAGCGCTTGGCCGGGGTGCCCGGATCGCGAGGCACCTCCTCGTCGAGCGTTGCCATTGACTCGCGCCCGTTGTACAGCTGGTTGCCAACGGCGCTAGAGGAGCCTGTTAAGGCGGACCCCTCAAGCATCGACCCGTCGACGAGAGAAGCCACGTTGGATTCGATACCAGCGGGATGAACAAAATCAGGGTTCAGGTTCACAGCACGGACATCGTCCCTAGATGGGACACCACCAAGCTCGCTGTCCGTTGGGTTCATGCCCGGGTTTCTGACGCTCCGGTCGTCATCGAATATCTCACGGTTTGTGGGCCCGTCCTCTCGTGAAGGTTTTCCGGCCGATACGATAGAATCGTTGGTTCGGTGTGAAGCCCGCGACTCTGGGTTTCGAATCTCGCTTCCGGTCTCCGTGTAACCAGAAATACTTGGGATTGGGCTTAGGCCGCGACGCTCCGGCTGATACGGCACGTACTTCAGCGGGGGCGGCACATCCTGGGTGCTGTAGTAGTCATAAGGGCTGTCGGGAGCATATGCCGGCCCGGAATCGGGATCGTCCACTTCGTCCTCGTCTCCTTGGTAATGCTTAGAGGCACGTGAAGGCACTCGCTTCCCGTTGTCATCAATGATGTACTCGTCCCATTGTCCGGTTCGTTGATGAGGCAACGTCTTGAGATCCCCGTGAGAGATATTAGCATGTTGAGTTCCCAACGACTGCTGCAATGTGATTGGTGTTTTGGTGGGAGTTGGGGTTGACGCTGAGGATAGTTGGTCGTGTGGTAATTCTCGGCTGGGAGCCAGCTCTTCGCTTGCGGAATGTGGCCGATCGGTTTCTGCGGTTAGGATGGATGCCCTTGTCACATCAGAAGCAAGCATTTCGCTCATCAACGGCATCGGCGGAATCGGCGGCCCAAGTTCTGATTCCTCATCCTCCAGAGCCAGATCGGAGCCGCGACTCCGCATCTCAGCTCTGCGCCGTCGCCTAGAGCGCTGTTTGTCGTCGGAAGGTGACTGGAGTACCTCGTGGGCGGCGATAGCGGCCGCACCCATGGCAGCCCCGGTGGCAGCAGCCTTGAGCCGGTCTGTGCTGCGGCCCGGGGTGTCGTCAAGATCATGGTCTTCAATGGTATCGTGACTGAGAGCGCTACTGTCGTCAAAGTCATTACGGGCCTCGCGATCTCGGCTCTCTTTACTCCTCATGCTATCGCGCGGCGTGACAATACTCTTGTCAAGGGCTCCAGACCGCCGCCGATCGTTCGCAAACTCGTCCCTCGAGATTGTGGTTGCGCTGGATGTGGTCGAGTCGCGGCGAGTCCCGCGCCGGCTCTGTTCCCTCTTCAACGCGTTGAGCTCTGGGAGGATGAGGCGGCGAATGGCGTCCTCAACCGTCTCGAGGAGTTTGGGGTTATTGATTGACGAAGTCTTCGAAGCGCCGGACCGAATGGAGTGTTGGTCCATAGAGCGATGACTTGGCGCGAAGGCGGAAACGACGCTAGAATCTACTCCTGAAATGAGAGACTCGCTATGCCCCTTGGATCTCCTCCGTGGCGACTTGGCGCGCTCAGAGTACTTCTCGTCCTTTGACACGCTACTTGTTCGGCTTTTGCTTGACCTGTGCTTGCGGTCCCTGTCCCTATCCTTGTCTCGGTTTTTGGATACGACCACCCTGTCTCGTTCGCGGTCTTCGCGGCCATCGCGGCTATCGCGGCTCTTGTTCCGGACCTTATCGGCGACGGCGGCAGCTCCCAGCCCCGCGGCAGCACCGAGGAGGTAATCGCCTGTGCGAGAAGGGCTCCTGCTCCTGGTGCTCTTGGCCTCGGACATGCCAAATGACGTAGCCGGCCCGGACCCGTCAAGGAAACTGTCGGCGGGGATGGCTGAAATCTCGCTCATGGCAGAGTTGTTGTAGCTGGCTTTGCTGTCGGCCGTCGGAATGAGCGGGCTTGCTGGGCGACGGCGGCGAGCATTGCCACTCCGCTCGATCTCAATGTCGATGGGGTTCCGGCTGACGTTGCTCTCTTCCGTCGCCGAAGCATACGAGCCCGCGTCCTCCATGTCGCCGCTGAGCACCGAGAGATCTTCCACTTCGCTACGGGCAGGCACAGACCGGCGACTGGGGCTCAATTTCCTCGCCTTTGTTTGTGTGATTTTGATGCGATCCCGATCCGATCCGCCCTTGGACCGGTGCTTGCTGCTCGGTCTAACGCGAACGCGAACGCTCGGTTTCCGATGTGAGCTTGTGCCGGATATACTGCTCGTCTTACCACCTTCGAAATATTCGATCAGTAGGGAGGTCTGCGATTTGCTTTGCCGATGCCCCGTCCTGATGGTGACGGGGGTTCCGTCGTCGGGGAGGGAATAGGTGGATTTGTCGTCGCCCGGTCTGGAAACATCGGTGCCAAGGTCGCTGTGAGCGTAGTCGCTTGCAACGTAGTCACTTGGGCCGCCGCTCATAATTGTCGAATTGGTTTCGGTGGGCGCGGGCAACGGCGGTGGAGATCTCCTCTTTTTACTCCCGATCCCCATGGTTGCGTCGAGAGCCAGCGGGCAGCTATTAGTTGGTTAGGTATCAGCGGGCCCTCGGTCCGTCGTCCAATTAATCCCTTCCACGGAGTCCCTCGGCGACCGTTTGGAGACGAGCGGGATTGGAAATCAGAGGCCCGCTACGAAACAAGGAAAAAAGGGAAAAAAAAAGTTAAGACGCAGTGTATCCAGGGAAAATGGTTGACCGGCTTCCTTCAAGAGAGCATTGGGCGCGGGAAAATCTGTCGAAACGTGGGTGATGTGAGCAGGTAGTCATCCCATAGACCGACAGGCCTCGAGAGGGGGGAAATGTCGCACACCTCGGGCGCCGGGAGAACGAGAGAAGAGGGCGCCCTGAGAGGGCTGCACTGGAAGAATGGAAATGCGATGGTCATACGTACTGTAAAGGGGCGCACAGAACAATGGGTAATCGGGGAGGCGGCCTGTCAAAAAGCGAGAGGCGGGCGCAAAACCCAAGGCCGGGGCGTTGTTGAAGCGGCAACCAGAAGAGAAGGGCGCCGGAAGAGCGGGGCAGACCGCAACGACGGCAGACCCAATCGCAGCGTCCCGAGACTTGGCAAGTTGTAGGAAAAGATGGGGTGGTCGGCTTTTGGGAATGCCTCGGAGGGAACGACCGAGACGTGCGCCGAGGAGTGGTGGACGATGGCTCAGAGAACCGTTTCCCAGTATTGCGGCGACGAGAAGTGGCGGATGTGCGCAATGCGCCCAGGCAGGAGGCAGACTCTTCTTCCTTCCGTGACTTGCTTCCCTGCAGTAAACGTCGGCTTCCGTCTGTTCTGCGGACCCAAGGAGGGACCTATGGGAGGCTTTGTTATGGTCCAGGAGTGGCCAGGATTGCTTGATGTGCTGGCGGTGCTTGGATGGGGCCGGCCAATTGCGCGTGGAGTCTGGGGTCTCTGGTGCAGCAACGTGCAGCTCGAGAAACGGCAGAGCCAAGATGGAGAGACGAGGCTCACGGGTTGCTGCTGCTGCAGGCGCTGGCGGTGCTTGGAGGGGAGGTCTCGGTAGGTACCTAGGTATAGAACTAAAGGCTGTGGAGCCAAGCGGCGGGAAGGTGTTGAAAAAAAGATGAGACAAACCCCCGAGAGCACGTTCCACGGATGCAGGTATCAATCTATTCCTGCGATGGTGTTGCCCAGTAGTTACATACCAACAGGGAAAACCCGAATGAGGGGGGGGCGGGGGGAAGCAAATGTCGGGATTCGACAATCGAGGAGGCTGGGCTGGCGGTTTGTTGACATTCAGCTCCGTCTCCCGCCAAGCACAACCAACAGGGCCATGCTGGTCCAGGGAAGTGGAATCCCACGAAGAGACGAACAGGGACTGAGCAGGGAGTTGGCCCTGCTCCGCTCCGCCTGGAGACGGGAGACCCCACTGGGCGATCTCTTGGGTTCTTGGCTCAGCAGATACCTTAGGTGGTGCCGCCCTCCGCTTCCCGCCACCATCACGCCCCCAATCATGCCCAAAACGATATCACCTCAATCCCAACCACTCGTTCCGAGTTCATGCGGCTGTCCGTTTCGTCAGCGTTTCTAACCTAGTGTAGTAACTAACCTAAAGGGCAAACGGTTCGCTGTTGAACGACAACATTGTAGACAGGACAGCCAACCGATTTGGTTGATGACGAGCATATACTTTTTCCTATCTAAATGTCTGGTTGCCAATCGCTTTGTTTGCGCCCCTGTTTGCAGCAAGATCTCGGGTCCTCGATACCATCGTCAGGGACCAGGTCTGACGAAGCCGGACGCTAACTAAACCCGAACTCAGATCTCGGGGTCCCGCCGTTACCGCTTTACTAATCGCTCCCGCTGTGGAACGGCAAGCTTCAAGAAAGGGGTAACCCCATGTTTCATATGAGCTGGGAATTATTGTATGCCCAAGTGCCTTGGTACGTAGGCAGGTAGGTACCGGGGTATGGTAGGTGCTGTTGTCGGGTTCACCTCAGTTCAGCAGTGCGTGGGGCGACAGATGAGAAGTGGCAGCCCTCTTCCCAGGTAGGTAGACTGTAAATGCCATTCATTCACGGGTACCTTGCAAGCGTTGCCCTCTTCGATGGTGAGAAGGCAATCCCGGCCAATACTTTCGCTGGTTATCGAGAAGTCGTGAACCGTACGATGTGCAATTCCAACGCTTGTATTGCTTTCAACTTAAAACCTATGGGCTGTTTCGGTCAAACACCGACCGTACAAGGATACTTCCAAAAGTATATAGGTACACACCAAACCCTCCAGTTCAACATACGGCCTAAGCTAGGTGCCTCCTAACCCTCCTAACCCTCCTAACCAAAACGACCAAAACGACCAAAACGCCCAAAACGCCCAAAGACGAGATCTACTCGACGCCAATGGCCTGGCACAACCCCAAAGCTCGCAACCGAATTACTTCTTGGGCCTCCGTTCCGAGATAAACTCAACCTCGGCACTGCTGAGAATATCGCGGATGACCGGATTCTCCAAGTAGTGGATCCCAAACCCGCCTCCGAGCAGAATCTTGAGCAACTCGACTCTGGTGTGCAGAGACCAGGTGTCGATGAGCAAGAACTGGTTGTAGATACGGATCTTCTCCCGATACCCGAACTCTCTGAAATCGCTCTGGTCATCGGTCCTCGACCCACCCGTGTGCGGGTTTGGCCCCGACCGGCCGGCCGTGGAGTAGCCCGGTCCCTTGCCACGCTCAAGCGAGGTGACAATGCTGGAGAAGTTGGACCGCAAGTTCCTCCGTCCCTTTTTGGAAATGGTTTTTGATGAGTCGCGAACAATTTCGGCCATCCGGGTCATAATCCGGTGCTGGTTGTATTGCATGTCGAAACTCTGGCCCGTCTCCTCTTCGTAATCACGAGCAGCCTCGAAGAGGAGCGCAATGTTGACTCCGGCGCCAGTCTGAACATCGGGGTCCGAACTGTCGAGCTGCTCCATGAACGCCTCGATGGCCGTCTCGCTCTGGTCCGTCAGGTCGTCCAAGTGACTCGCCACAAACGCCCAGGCCTGGAGGGCCGCTGTCACTACCGGGGCGCTGTCTGCCGCCGTGACAGAGTGGCCGTCGCTCTCGATAATCTCCAAGAGAAAGTCGAGAACCTCCTCTGCAGCCTCGGTTGACCCTCCTCCGTACGTTACAGCGATGCTGAGAGCGTGTATCGCCTCAATTTTGTTGTCTTCTTCCTCTGAGTCGTGGCATGCCGCTTTCAGGATCGGCAGTGCTTGCTCGAAAACGGTATCCGACGAGCAGGTGAGGACGGTCAAAGTGAAAGCCTTCAGCGCCCGTAAGCGCTCTTCGTCGCTACTACCATTCTTAACATCCCGGAGGAGAACCGGCATAATCTCGGCAACGGATCGTTGGAGCTGGCCCTGGGCAAAATGATGCTTCAGGAGATGGTTGTATCCCCCGAGGGTGGCTTCGCGTCCCTGTACGCTGCTGCGCTTGCGGTCCTGAAGCTCCGTGACCCGGTCCTGGAGCCGCTCAACCCATGTTGTAGTGCTTCCCACATCTTCATCTCCGTCGACCGAGTTGGCGCTCATGGTCATGATGTCGTCGTTCTCCGAGTCGCTAGCAAATTCATCTTCCGACGCGTAGCGGCTGCCAGGCCTGGAATTAGCACGCGAGCCCACGCGCGAGTTGGCCGGGGATCCATTTGGAGAATGGTTCGTTGAGGAGAGACCAGACTCTGGCTTCAAGCGGGCCTTGCGGGATACTGTCTTACCGGACCCAAGGGCCCGTCTCCGAAGCTCAGACATATTCTCTTAATAGCGTTTCGTCGCAATTTGTCGCAAGTATTCCGTTACAAGGGCGATACCAAGTGGTTTTCGTGGTGTGCGTGTGTGTGTGAGAGAGAGAGAAAGTGTGTGTGGATGGGTGTGTCGTGGGCGAAGTTTGGCGTTGCCGTGTGCTCAGATGATGGGATTAAGTAATATGGGTGGCGGAAACAGCGTGTTGCGTGAGTTCTCGGAGTGGTCGGGTGTTTGCAGTTGGCAGGTGATAATCCATGAGGATAAATAACAACCTAGGCAGAAAAGGCACGGTGGGTGGTCTGTGGCTTTGGCCGTTCGAAGAAATGTCAATAAATCACAAAGGTAACGCCTTCCGAGTCCGGGTGGTGACTGAATTTTCTGTCCCGAACAAGAGGGCAGTGGCCTCGGGAGACTCGCATAAATAGTCCACCAAGAAGCCTTCCTTCCAGGTCGTCGGTGCGGCAGAAACGGACCTCCCAGGTTGCTTGAACTGGGCTTGTGGGCCAGGTCCCGAACGGTGACGCACGAAAGCGCCACCCACCCACTGCAAGGGCCAGGCCTGACGTTGATGGCGGGGTCAAGCACCCTGGAAGCCTAGACTGGGCGGGCTCGGCGGGCACTGGCCTTGTCGCTTCAAGATGTCGGCGACTTCGAGCTCGTCATCTTCTAGTCTTCAAACTTATTGGAGATCTCTATCTTTCTCACAATCCCTCGTATCTATTAGAATTTGGTTTTGTTTTATTGGCGCCTCTCGCATTCGAACCACTTCTTCACTATTAACTAGTGTAAGATAAGTTTGGTGGCTGTGAATGGGAGTTGCGCCCCCAGAGCACCAGAAACCTTGGCAAGATCCAGGGTTAAAGTGGTTGCATATTGGCTAGCCGAATTGGGTTAATTCTTGACCCCGCGGGGCATGTGGGCAGTTTGGCCAGACGGGATATGGGCAACCTCTTAGTTGATATCTCTCGTTTAAAAAGATCTTCTAGAGAGTACGGAGTAAAGCGGGAGTAAAGCAGAAGATTGTGGTGCCAGGTGTCCGCCACTGGTATGTTGTTCGGCAAATCATCCCACCTCCCTGAGTCTCGTTGTGGTTTGAGTGTTAAGCCAACAGTCATGCGAGAGTGGGGCCACGATAAGATTGTGGGCTGCACCTTTTACATGTGCTTCCGGGAACAAATGAGCCAGGGCACAATGTAATCGATGCGTACTTGCACAAGCAGTGAAAGCATTCTGTTTCTTTGACACAGTAATGACTTGAGTTCAATCGGTGTGCTTGTAATGTCTGGCTTGTGGCTCGTGGATTGCCTTGTTTGCGATGCCTGAGGTTTCCCGATCTTATCGCAGCCCCGCACCGCCGCCCAAGAGCTCCGATCCCATGACCACAGCATTCATGCTTCCTATTCCTCAAACCCAGCCGCACATCTTCTTTCTCCAAAGTAACTCGTAGTAAAAAGCGAGAACCTTGATTCCGTACCAGGAATCACAGTATCTTTTATTTCCCCCAATCGGTAATTATATTACAACTGGCTGCCGCCCGAGGAAGGGTGAAAGGGCAGCCTTACGGAAGTTACGGCCCTGACCTGGTGTCTCTGCCTGGGCACCCCACCTTCCGAACCCGTTGCAGCACTTCCTGCCTGATTACCTACGTCGCCAACGCTTCACTCTCGTCTCTTAAGGTTCTTTCCAAGTCGAAGCGGGCACTTCCGAGTATCATATGTGAACTCGACCCATCAACACACAGTTCAGTTGAACAACGGACCTGTTCTCGAGAAGCGCACTTGCACAACCGCCACTTGACCGGACACCCTTTCCCTCGGGCACTTGCACGAGGCTCGAGCAGACAAAACCCCCCGTCGCGCACCACTCATTACAAACTCCGCAATCCACATCCACAGCTGAGCTCGCTCTGACGAGGAATCGCTAGGTACAAAACACCATCACCTGGGCTTGACTTTGACCTAGGCGGATCAGAAACCAGTACCCTTACCGCTCGAGAAGGACTCGGGCCTGCGTTACTCAGGATGAACACTCCGCCCGACCCTCGAAAATCGGGTATGTCATCACCTTATCTAAATCCTCCCCCCCCCTCCCCCCAAGCCCAAGCTTCCGATACTGACACGCCCTCAACTCTAGTGGTGCTCCGCCTCTTCGTGGATCAAGATCAATCCTCGGGTGTCGATACTTTCCCCGAACGCCACATTACATTGCACGACGGCAGGGACGGCGGGAGCAGCATCACAATCGGACGGGCTTCCAAGCTCTCCACTAAAGGCTTTATCGCCAGTGCCGAAAACGCTTGGTTTGATAGTCCGGTGATGTCAAGACTACACGCCCGACTATCGGCCAAGCTGGATGATAGGGTACATTGCCACACATTTTCAGTTTATATCGCCATACTAACTGCCGAACAGAAGATTGAGATCAAGGATCTTGGCTCGCTGCACGGAACATTCCTGAACGATGACCAGCATCTTTCGGCCCATGACCCCGTCGAATTACGTCAAGGTGATGTTCTACGATTCGGTGCGCCGATCTGGCGGGGCAACGAACAATTCGTCCCGATCGTGGTCAAGGTCGACTTCCAATTTTACACGCCGTAAGCGCTTGTCCGTTCGCTATACTCTACAGATCGCTAATATATCTTCCAGTGACGGCGGCGCCTGCACCTTCCAAGTGCCTGACGAGTCTGACGATGAGGACCTCGATGATTCCCAATCCGACCACAGCGTTGAGATGATAACTGCCAATGCTTACGATGCCGTGACAAAGAGCATAATGTCCGCCTACGCCGCCGCCACGTGTGAGGATTTGGTCATTGATTTGGCCGGCCCATCTACCAGCCAGTCACCCAGATATGACTCCAGCTTGCCAGTCCCGTGTGACTCTCAGGCTCACATCCATGACGTCCGGGAGCCAGCAAACTTCGTCGAGGGGCAAGATGAAACGGCAGATGATGTCATCGATGATTCAACGACTGACTATAAGTTTGGAGGCCCCGTGGCCAACGAGAATCTGGGAGACAGAACTCTCCATTCCGACGACATGACGGATCTTGAATCAAACGAATCCCCGAATATGGATGTAGATCACGCCTGGTATGGAACTGTGGAGCAAGACGATGATGAAGACGCCGAGCAAGACGATGATGACCAGGACGCCGAGCAAGACGACGAAGACGATTACCCAGACGAACAGTCGGATAGCCAGATGGATAGCCTTGAAAGCCAGAGTGCCGAAGACATGATCAGCATCATCTCAGACGGCGATTCCCACCGATCTGAGGCGTCGGACTTGTCGGACGACGACAGTTTAGGCCTGGAGTCTAGGAACGGTATGAGCATTTGTTATTATGCTAAAGTTTTGTCATTAATGTTAACTAGATTTCACTTCCTGGGAAGAAATGTCAGGCACATCTCGAGCTCCGCACTTTCCAGAAATCATTCGGTTGATCGACTCTATGTCGTCATCCCCGCACCCACCGCGCCAGACTGTCGCCGGGACCAACACCGTCTCCAGCATCGACTGGCTACTGAACAGCGAAAAGCCACGGATGTCAAGTCCAATAGTGGCTTGGGAGGAGCGAATAACTCCACCAGATTCTTCCCCGGCAATTATGACACGTCTCTGGACTGGGGGGGTCGACGATTCCCAGCCGGGAGGCGAGAACAAGATGACTCTCGAGGCGCAAAAGGCCGAACGCTCGCGACCGATATCGGTCAGAGACCTTTGCAACAATGAAGAGCCTGTGGATAGGCCAGGAAACTACGTGAACCACGTGCCGCGCGTACTCCCGCCATTGGGGCAGAAGCAAGTAGCGCAGACTGGAACGAACGAAAAGGGTAACGACCGCAAGGCAAAGCGAAAAGCGGAAGATATTTCGACCACCACCGATGCTGAGGAGCGGTGGGCTGGTTCCGTATCTGAGATACCGCCACTGAATCCGCCCGTCGATGAGACGAACACGCAGCCCGAGCCCCCAGCGGAGACCGTTCAAGAGGTTATTACATCGACGGGCCACGATGGCGAGCATCCCACGATCGGAGAACCGGAGACTCAAGATAGACCGGTGAAAAGAGCGCGCATGATGCGTGTTGCCGAGCGTCTGGGATATGCCGCTCTTGGTGGTGTCACGGCTGGAGCCATGATAGTTGGCACGCTTATCTACACGGCCCCCACTTTCGGTTGAGCTCGACGGCGGCGACGACGGCGATGACGGACCTTTTTCTTTAGTCTCAGTGTGACCCGGATTTTGCTTGGCTTCATTTTGCTTCTGCCATCTGGAGGTACTCCAGACGAGGAGAACGCCGAGGGGAAATGGAAGGCGTTCGGTACATGGTTCATTTCATTTCGGCTTTGCCTAGGGACACGGAATGGGATCATGGCGGTCGGGTCTGATATGGCTTTTTGCGGCAGGGTATGGGCAAGTGGAAGCGGTATGGGAGCAGAACAAAGGCATGGTCTGGCGCGCGGCATAACGGACGGATACGGGGCGCTCGCTGCCAACTTATATCGGCTGCCAAATTTGCTCTCTTCTCCGTACACCATCGTTCTTTGTACGTTTTAGGTTTGACCGGGATACTCGCGCTCTCTACCAGGTACTATAATGGTCATCTGCGTTCTTTTCTTATGAACCTTTCTCGGTTTAACTAGAGAGGGTGCTGGGGGGCAGATGGCCCGCTACATTTTTCCGCCGTTAATATGTTGTACTTGTTCGACAAAGTTGCAACGCCGGACGGCACCACCGAGCTCACGACTTTGCTAAGTATCATTTTTGGTTCCCGGAAACAAACATTTCGGGCATGGCTAAGCAGTTAGGCTTGAGTGATCACTCACCTACTCGCTGCCGATTTATTGGCTTGGGATGGAGCATTTCGACAGCCTGGGGGAGCCCATATGAGAGTGAGTGTGAATAAACCGAGCTGGGCGGCCGGGGGAGGGAACGTGTCTCGAGTGTTTGCGTGGCGGTGTAGGCGGGGGCCATGGGAGTATCGCCATCCCATGTCGAGAGGGCTATTGCATCAGCTCTGTTGTTTGCCCGTTATGTATGACGACATATCGACCTATTCGCCTACTTGTTTTGCCACAGCATTAGCCTCAGTGTAGCTATATCGTACTCGTCAGCCCAGACATCCCCACTCCGAATAACGAAGTGGAGATCCAGAGGGTGAATAGCTTCCTGGCGCCATATCGACGGGAAAGGAGACCGCATTCGGTGCTCGGTTTTTTAGTCCCCCTCTTTTTCTTTATTTTTTACTTTCCATCTCATGATTCTCTTCCACATCCTGTGACCACTAGTCCGTCGTAATTGCCTTGCCACTGTATCTTGTGTAGATCTCGATGCTCTTTGCCTACGATATCTAGGTGATCTTTAGACCGTGATCGTCGTGGTGAGGACATATGGACGATTGAACATTCCGCGCTTTGTTGCTCAGTGGATTCTTCAACGGGGAGAGGTTTGAGTGGGTGCTTGAAATAATGTCAACAGTGTCTTGAGTACTCGCGTTTGGATGGATGCTCGTCGTTAAGCAAACACAAAAAGAGGGTGGGAGGTATCTTGCTTAGTTTGAGTCCTGAAGAGGGAGCATTTTCGAAGGAGCAAAGGCACATCGGCCAATCAGTTAACCGCGGTCTTCCTCACGGGCCTTCCGTGCCCATGTCCTAGAGTGTTTGGAGAAAGAGGCCGAGTGCAATAAATAGGGGTGATAATATTAGTACCAAGAGTCCGGTAAGCCCTTACTATCGACCTACCGCACCGTAACTACACTCGAAGTTGTCTCAAGGAGAATAAAGATGGAGTGATAGAGTAGGATGGGTTAGAAAATAGAGGCATCTCAACAACACATGAGCATGCCTCAATACCTGCCTAAGCAGACAAAGCGCCCTTTCCCGCCACGACAGAACAGTGTGCCAGCTCGCCCATCACTCCCATTTTCCCCCAACCCCACAACCGACCAAACCAAACTCAACCAGCATGGGCCATCCCAAAAGCCCGTGTCACGGAGATAGGTAACGCGCCCTTTTTTCTCGCTCCTTCCACAAAAGGCAATTCCGCGCCGGTCCCGGAGCCCGACGTGTGACACCAAGCCCAACCAAGCCAATTCGCCAAGGCAGAGCGAGACAGAAGTAGAAAGCAGGAAGGCCAATAAGAGATAGCCGGGAAGCGCGACGTGGCCGGGGTTACACAGAATATCCGAGGGGAAGCACAGAGGTGTTCCAAATCGGCGCGTGCCCCCTTTTCCGGCTGGCCCGGGCAACTTTGCGTATTAGGACGAGGTATTGTGGGGGCGCCCCCGGGGGGGGGGGGGGGAGGGGTTGAGAGGAAGAGGATGAGGTGCGGAAGGGTGTCGAGGAGACGAGGAGGGTGGAAATGAAAAGAGAGGAGATGGGATTTCCGATGTAGCTCGGAGAACCGCAACAGTAAAACCAACAACAACAATGGGAGAGAGGTATACTGAAGTAGCACCTTGCCAACACCTGAAGAACCCAACCCCAGCTTTTCGGCAGCCGGCCCCAACAACCAACATGATCGCTGCTCTCTGCCTCCTGCCAACACTGCCTGCAGATGCGGGACGGGAGAGGAACGACGGGGCAAGGCAAGGCCCGCGAACCCTTGTGTCGATTATGTACACGAGGTGCACGGCACTTCCAGAGAGGAAGAGAAGCGGAGTAGCACAAAAAAGCCATGGCTGTTTTGCTCGGTTTGGCTGGCTGGCTGTCCGGTGTTGCTCGTGGTAATGTGGTCCGAAGTTCCTACAGCCGGTAAGCTTCTGGCGGCGTCGGGGAGACAAAACAATAAAACAACTGGGTGGTTTCTGTCCGATATGCCGGCGATGCCGGTCTCGTCGGGCAGGGAGTGTCTGTGAAAGGTGAGTTGTCCCAAGTCGCGCAGAGGGGAAAGGGGACCGTTGAACCGATATCCCGCGATGGATTAGGATGGTACCGTGCTTTTGGTTGCACTAAGCTCCCTTGTGTCCGCCTCATTCCTGGTGTTACCTCCCATTGAGAGAATAACTTATTTTGGGCATGGGTATCGTGAGGGAAGGTCCTGGGAGGATAGCGACCGGTGAGCTTGTACCTCCGTATCCCGGTCATCGGATGGTGGTTTGCCCTATGTTTTAATCTCTAATAACCGTGCCTATCTTTCCTGATCCCGGCTTTCCGTAAATGGGAGACGCATCCCGGTTTCCATGATTGGATTTTGACTGGGCGTCTCCTAATGATAACTGCGGGACGGCGTTGATGCCGTGGTAAGCGTGGGGAAGAAGTGTGTGTGCAGTCTGCATGTAAGAAGCGAACATCGGTAAGTGATGCCCAAGACGGAACGAGATGTCAGAATATGCGAATGCGGAAACACGTGTTAAGCTTGCAGGATCGATCTGCAACTTGCCGTCCACTCAGACGGGGCCACTCTTCGCAGTGGCAACGAGAAAGGGGACGGATTGGGCGGGCTGCGGGGCGAAGGATGAAGAGGTGAGGGGCGAGGATGGTGGTATCAGACGTGAATAATGAGTGGCATGGATGACGCGAATGCCATTCACGATGGCCCTTACTTGGGGGTGACAAGCTTGCAGACCGACATGGAGTAGCCATGATGGAGTTGGGCTCCTAGGACTGGTCTTGGTGCGGTCATGGTGCGGTCACTGCAGCCAAGACAAGCCACATTCGCTTCTCGATCCAGTCCCCTCCCACCTTTCTATTGGTACCTTTCTCATCGAGTCTCTGCGAGCTGGACCGGTGTGACAGGTTATCCCCGCACACCATATTCCTCGGCGGGGCTAGCTCACGCCCGGGTCTTTGGGCCCCAGTTGCCCCGTTTCCCAGTGCTATACGGGCAGAAATCACCAAGTCTCCTCTGATGCTGCCGGTCTCGGGGAATAGTGGTCTTACCTTTTGCCAATAACTACCAGATTTCTCAAGAGTCCGAGCGGTTTTAACTCGTCGAGCCGGGTGACCTTCGGGGGTTGTGAGGAGGCAACTTTGGGGCGAACGACTCCAAGTTAATGGCCCGGATTTGGCTTCGGTCGATAGGGATTCTGGTTGATAGGCACATGACAACGTTGTCCTGTACACGCCAGACTCTCGTCACGTCCTGCTAGTGCTGTTGGCCGGCTTTGGGAACGAATGGCGGCTTGTCACGATGACGTGCTCGAATTGGTGGCACGGATCCCATCTCAATACCGCCTGAAGATACTGGTGGGGACTGTTGGCTGAGATGTTATCGGCAGTTGCTCCCTGTCTAGGTAACTCGGACGTTGCGGAAGCTGCCCAGAGAGTCATGGCGGAAGCGCCCTCGGGCAACATCGCGAGTTGTCCGAAGGAACTTCTTGGAGCATGTGTCACCCACCCAATCCGTAGAACTCCTTCGCTCAGAAGGAATAGCCTTTAGCCTGATTCTTTCACCGGTATGGCCTGCATTCGTGGGTGACCACTGTATAAGCAGTGTACATGTACGTACAAGTAGGTGTAACGCGAGTGGGTAATGTGGGCTCACTGAAACGGCCACGGCACCCGGCACTCTGGAACCAGACTCGGGCATCTGCATGTATACCTCACTTTCCGTGCGTCGCCGCTCGTTTAAAAAGCAAACGAAAATACACACGGTCTGAACCCATAGCCAGCTGCTCGTGTGTTCAGCTTGGGAACCAAGTGCGGGGAAAGGAAAGAGGGTGTTGCAATACGTCCTCGATGAGACCTGACACGGCTTTTGGGCGTCCATGTCTCGGGGCCGGTGGGCGGTTTTCATGGCCCAAGGGAGACGCGGATAGCCGCAGGTGGGATTCTTGAAGGCGGGAAATGTTCGTTGGTAGCAGCCAAAAAAGTGGCGGCCTATAAGAATGGCAGCCTCGAGGCTTGGGCTGCGGCTGGTTGCATGAGATTCGCATGATTCCGGCTTCAACGAGTCGAACATTGTAAAGGGGTGTCAGCTCGCATGCATCGATCGCCGCCATACCGGCAAACTTGTGATATAGCGCAGGCAAGAGAATCAGGGACACAGATACCACCCTGGGTAAGAGTAGACTTGACGCATGCTAGTTCGGTTAACCGCTCTGGGTCGGCTCTGGGCGTGGACAACCTTCGAGGTTCCTGGATGTCTCACCAACCCGTGTCGGTAAACGTGCCGTCTTCACAGCTCGGGGATATCTGAACATCGGCACTAACACCGCTCGTCTTGGCGTATAACCGTGATCAGCAGACCCTCTCTTGCTGATATGGTGATGTTATTGGCCGGTGGAAGATCGAATGTTCGGAAATGGGTAGACGTGGGAATCGCGGTTGGCGGTAAGCAGGTTCATGGCCCACGCCGTAAAGGAACCGACGATTGATGAACAGGACCTGTCTATATAATACTGGTCTGCGGCCCACGGTTCTAGTCCCCAGTGCCGTGGAACTCCGGTGCATCTCTCCATCCGTTTGCTCCTCCTCTCGCAAGATTCACGAATTGTCAGTACCAGTTGTCAGCACCAATAGTAGCCCTCACCACAGCCTCCAACGGCGATATACTTGATCCAATGGAGCCCGAGGCTTGTGGTTGCGTCCGGCTCGGCGACGGTCGTCTGTACCAGCCGGGAAACTGTGCTTCATGCGGGGCAAGCATGAGAATGTATGACTCTCTCCTGATGTTGGCCTTCGCAAGGAAACTGACTAGAGTAGGGGGTGTTACCACTGCCATGGAACAGGGCTCACGTGGTATCCATGCACCCACTTATAGCCGCACGGAATGCAAGTTGCCCTGTCCGTTTTCTTGCCGGATAGCTCATCTTATGGCCATAGGAGCTCCTAAACGGCGGCATTTCCTCGCAGAACTATGCAGCGGTGGTGGCTCTGATCGAAGTGCCGTAACTAGGCTTATGAGAACGATGCGTTGTTTCGGAAGGTAGGTTTAGGCGGCCAGGCGAGTCGAGCGAGTTCGGGTGAGGTTCTCACCCGAGTCTCTTCCTGTTTTCTTTGATGGTTCCAAGTTGTCGGCGCTGTGCATAAGCCATACACCGAACACGGGATTTTGGTGACGAACGGCAATGGTGATTCAACTCGCGCCCATGAGGTTCGTTGCATTTTCATAGTACTTGGGGGTCATGGAATTT